GTTTTAAAGCAGGGCTAAGCACTACACGAGCCTGAGCTACATAGGATTCAGGGTATCAATATCTGGATAAGGATTGGATAACCAATGCAGCAAGTGTTTGCATCCAACACCTAAACTTAATGCAACAATATATATATGTACCAATAATACTGTAACTGCATTTCAAAAATTAGGAGGCTTAATAAGCTCCGGGGCTTGCCTTTCACAAAGTTGCACGGATGGTGATCCGGGCACTCAACGGCGACCTCATCTGGCACTTCTCCTGAAGGCTGCACCTCCTGAACCTCCGGTGTTGGCTGCTGCTGCTCCTCGCTCGGTTCCTCGAATTCCAGCAGTGTCACACCTTCCGGTACACCTATTGCATGCCGATGCACAAGATAAATATCATGGATGCATAAGGAATAACATGATGCTCATGATGAATGAATCACAGTAAGTGTTTAACGAAAACATCACTGGACACTCGTTTACCGAGTAAAATAGCTCTATTCAAATCACTTTAAGCATGTATCTAACTTAACTTAAAGAATAAGATCAATTTACCTAACTTGCATAACCTAAGATAAAGATGCTCATCTTCAGTTAAAGGCCGAACACCTAGAAACATTACCACAAACTTAGAAATAGTAAATGCATACATAATTTATCATTTAAAGTTTCGTATACACACAAGTAGTCCCTTAATTTAATCATAACCAGAGTTCTATAAATTCAAATGACTTGCAAGAGGACATTCTGGAAAGCTTATGAAATTCTCTACAAATCATTTGTAAACATCAAAGCATGATTCTTATGTTAACCAAACCGAATTCTAGTAAACCTAGAATCTGTCCAGAAACGACAGGGTCGCTAATTTAATTATTTAATGATGATGCAAAAGCATAATTGGATCAAACCAAGTTTACCAACATGTTTTGCATACCAAAGAAACATCAGAAAGTCTAGTGCCAACTTCTAAACAATTTATTTAATGATCTTTTCTAATTTCTTTAGTTAATTAGATGATTAAAGCAATATATAGTAAAACTGTTCAGAAAAATCTACTAAAATTACACTAGCTATCTCATGCTTGACATAGACTACCATAAAAATTTCCAAGCCATTGGGTAAGCAGAACTTGCTGTATCTAAAATAACAGGTAACATGTCTATTTTTAGCATAATTAGGAAACCCTATTAAAAAGTGTCAAGCAACAGATTTCTAATTTTTTCTAACATCATTCTAGCATAATAACAGTACTCACCAATTTTTACCCTAAGTGGATCTATAGAAAAATTATAAAAAATCACACAAGATCCATCCATGCAAACAAGATCATTTTCTATCTCCTACAAACAGTGCCCAAAATTTATGAAAATTTAACTACAAGCTATTCATGATATGAGCAGTACACCATAAAAATTTCATGCCATTTGGAGCTACCCAGTAAAAGATATAATTACCCCTATTTCTTGCATGATTAAAAGAGATAAATAGAAACTCCCATTTTCATAACAGAACATGACATGGATTATATTTTTAATAGAAACTAGACATTATCATGAACTCAACAAAATTAGAACCCCATCATTTGGATCTATCATCTAAGAGCTCCATATTTTTGAATATGTACACAAATCTGTGAAATAATAAAACAAAACAAAATAAGAAAACCAATTCAACTACTGGGCCGGCCCGGTCAGACTCGGCGGCCCATGACGTGTGCGCGAGCGTAGCCCAGCAATGGCGCGGCCCAGCCAGGCTCCCGCCTACGTGCGTCAGCGACTGACGAGCGGGGCTCGACGGTTAGCGAGACAGACAGGGGAGGAGAACAGGGCGACGGCGAAGCTCATCGCCGGTGACTCTTCCGGTGAACCCGACGGTGCTACAGCGTTCACCACATCAGTGCACATCTAGCAGTGTCCTCAATCAAAGCCATTGTCGCGGCTACCGGGGTTGGCGACGAGCACGGCGGCGCGCGGCCACGGCATGGTCGGCTCCGGCGAGACTACGACACTACAGCTCGAATGGGTGACCCTACGAGCTTCAGCAGCGCTCCTAGGACCTAGCGCGAGAGAGAGATAGGACGGGAAGGCCACGGTGGCGGCTGGCCGCGTGGAGCGCCATCTCCGGCGAGGTCAGCCATGGCGGCGGTGGAAGAAAACGGCGATTTCGCCCTTACCAAGGCACAATTAGATCGACGGTGGGGTGGAGGAGGTAGAGGAGATCACAGCGAGGCTACTGATGGACTGGGTAACTCGTTTTCGCGGTGGCAAGCGCGCACGACGACGGCGACGCTCGGTCGGAAACGGGGAAGCCGCTTTGGCTCGTCGCTGCGCGCGGTGGAGACGAGAGAGAAACGAATGGGGCTGGCGAGTGCGTCGGGCAGGCACTGGCCCTCTTCTGGAGCGCGGACGTGCGACGTGGAGACTTTTGTTGGGCATGAACGCCACGCGGCGAGCGGCTCCTACGCCGGTCGGCCATGATGTTCGCTGACGCTTTCTGAAAATGGCGATTCAGAGATCACCGACGGTGACTGACATAGCAAATTTGACGGTGATTAGCTCCTAATCCGCGATGATTTAGATCATGCCATAGTTAACAAAGTTGATCATCTATATGTGAACTACAACTCTTACCATTGGAGCTCGAGCTGGTTTGGCTTTGTTAGGGAGATACAAGGTGAAAAAGTTGGGTACACGAAACTACAAAACACTTAAGGACTTAGAAAATTTCTAAGTCTGAAATCAGCATGAACTTCTGACTTGTGGGCCATGTTTGAGCATGTTCTAGCCATTTTCATGAGATGATCATAAAACAACTTTTGTTCCTTGATAAATTAGCTACAACTTTGGTAAAGAGTGCACAGCCATGCAAAGTCTCTAAGTTGGTCTTTTGAATAAGTCAAACTGTGGCACTCTAAGGGTCCATTCCAGTCAAACCTCCATTTGGGGGCATTTTGTCATTTTGATCTACATGAACAATGTCCAAACAATTACTCTAAGTGTAGTTAAGGTGTATTAGACCATGATCAACCACCTTACACAATTGTTATACCATTTCAAATGAGCACATGTGATGAAACAACAAAACAAGCAATTCACCCAATGTTGCAATGCAATGTTTCACATGTATCATGACTTTGTTGTCATTTTATAATTGTCACATTACTACCATATTGCCATGTTTCAAAGTATGAGAATTTCATGTTACATTCACATGTTGCACTACTACCATTCTAAGCAATCAAGTATGAAACACACACAATTGAAAATGTTGCATATGCATGTTTCAGTAACAATGACATGATGAGATAGATGATGCACATGTTTATGAAATGAAATGCAATTAGTGGAAGCCAAACACTTAGGGTGTTACAGCCACCTCCTCCTCCACGCCCCCACGCTCGCGCACCGCCGGCACTGGCCTTGCGGCGTCGAGCGGCGCCCTCTCGGCCTCCCTTTCCCTCTCTGTTCTCTCTCTATCGGCAGTGGGCCACAGGGCGGGCCACCCTACTAGCTTGGTCGTGCTTCTCGGGCCGACCGACACGAAAATCGGCTGGATAGGCCGTGCCTGGGCCGTCGGTCAGGCACGAAGGCCAACTCGGCATGGCCCGTTGGCATGTCGTGCCTTTCCTAGCCCGGGCCCGGGCCCGTGCCGGTCCGGCCCGTTGCCCATCTATACTCGCAGCCGGTTTGGGGCTATAGCACTGTGCAACGCAGGCAGTACATGCTAGTTCTTCATTTCTGGGTCCACTATTCTCTCGTATACTCACATACGTCGCTTTCAACTGCTCCACTTTCTATCCCATGTCGCCTCTGCAGGAGATTATGACACCCTACGAAGCAGCTATCTCTCTTAGTTCGGGATGTTTGGATCCGGTGACTAAAATTTAGGAGGTGTCACGTGAAGGTGTTGTATGGGATGTTCGGATACTAATAAAAAAACAAATTATAGAATCCGTCAATACTCCACGAGACAAATTTATTAAGCCTAATTAATCCGTCATTAACATATGTTTACTGTAGCACTACATTGTTAAATCATGGGCTAATTAGGCTTAAAAGATTCGTCTCGCAAATTAGTCGCAAGTTATGCAATTAGTTTCGTAATTAGTCTATTTTTAATACTTCGTATATGTGTCCAACATCTGATGGGACAGCGACTCCAAACACCCCTTTATCTTGCATCGGAACCTACGTGGATTGATGGGGCTAATATACACCGGGGAGCGTTGGGCATGGACGGAGGGCAACCTCAGCCTCACGTAAGCCAGGTCATCCGCATCAGGTGAATTTTCCACTGTCCGGATGCCCTAACCAACCCTACGTCACCCTCCAAATCAAAAGCATCTTCTTCTCAGAGCAATGTGCGAACTATCCAGAAACGTCAAGGGAACTCTCAAGCGCCAGCTGAAAAAAAAAAAAAAAGAATAGCCGGTGTCGGCGTAGCACATGGACCTGTAGACTTCGGAGCAACAGTCTCGCCTTTAAAACCGAGGAAAAAGAAGTGGAAAAAGAAATCAGGGGGACAAACACACGAAAAAGACAGAGCAGCAACAGTCTCGCCTTTAAAACCGAAGAAAAGTCGAAAAAGAAATCAAGGGGGAACACACGAAAAAGATAGAGCAGCATCACCACCAGAAATTGCAAGTGACATCGAATCTGACAGAAATATGGCCATAATTTTGCGGCTTCCTATTTTATATATTAATATAATTTACCAAGCAAAATACATATAATGATCCCTCGGTACAGGACAAATACTCTAGCTGTGACCGAAGGGCGTATTCACAAAGCCCAATTTCTGACCAACGCTTCCACCTTGAAAATGGTACTATATAGTAAGCTCACACTTAAGTACAAGGGAAAAGGAACTGGTCGAAATTTAGACACCCTAATTTCAAAAACAAATTACAAACCAAAGTCCTTATAGTGAGATTCTTCTTATGTTCTGCGATGACCACACAAGCTATAGCTATAGCACGGCCGCCGGTGGCGGTGGGAAGCCAGAGCACGGGATCACGCGGCCGAGGGCGCCGTGACGTACTTGACCGTGCCGGCCGCCGCCAGCGCTGCGCGGAGCGGCTTCTTGGCCACCGCCTCCACCTCGTCGTCGGCGTCGGCGGGGGAGAGGGGCAGGCCCTTGAAGTCCAGCGACTCGTCGTTGTAGATGTCCCACCACTTCTTCACCAGCATCTTGATGTCCTCCCTGTCCATGTTGGCCTCCTTCCCCGTGAACCTCCACGGCTTCGACCCCGCCGCGCAGTAGTGCACGGCCTTCACCTTCTCCAGCTGCACGTTCTCGGGGTGCCTCCAGAGCATGGCGAGCACGAGGTTGTACACGTTCGGGATCGGCCTGTACTGGTCCCTGAAGAACATGTTAAGAAAGTCCTGCAGGAATCGAGAACAGAGCGTGAGCATGCATGTATGCTGCCAAAAAAGAATCGATCGAGAGCTTGCAAGGCCAACAGGCCGTGTCGGTGTCACGCATCGATCGCTGCTCACCTGCTCTGCGAAGGGGGTGGGCAGAGTCACGCGGAGGGTGTCGATGAGTGCCTTGGCGGTGGCCATGCTGGGCTCGTGCACGAACATGCCGGCGTTGAAGTAGAGCGCCGGCGGAGGGCCCAGCTCGGCGGTTGGCCACGCCACCTCGTCCGGGCACTGCTGGCAGTAGCCGATCTTGTACTGCGGCGTGTGGCTCCACGTCTTCTCGCAGAAGCAGTCCATCACCGCGTAGAAGTGCCCCTTCTCGAGCTCGAACAGCTCGTCGATGTTCTCGAACACCTGGATGTCCGCGTCCAGGTACACCATCCTCTCGTACTCCACGAACTGCACGAATCGAACCCCGCGACATGTGAGCACCACAGAATTATATACGGGCAAAAATGGTTAAAGCAGTTCATGGACCAGTTCAGTTCAGTAGTTGGTTACAATACCTCCCAGATGCGGAGCTTGGAATAGTTGATGACATAGTACGCCATGGCGAACTGCGTCTGGTTCTCAGGCGGGTACACGGGTTCGATCTCGCGGACGATGCAGCCCTGCGAGACGAGGATGCGGCGGTGGGACTCCGGCACGTCGGGCAGCACGGCCACCACCAGCGGGTAGGCCGAGCGGACCTTGCGGAGGCCCTTGGCCAGGCCCACCACGCCCTTCCAGTAGTCCCCGTCGCCCGCCAGGAACGTCACGTACGCCCTCGTCGCGGGCTTCACCGCCGCGGTGGCGGCCTTGGCGATCATCGTGCCGGCACGCTCGGGAGCCATCTCGCTGCAGGGGGAAGGAGGGCTTTCGGTTCTCGGGGCTACGAGCGAGTTCTGCTCGGGATTCGGAGGCTGTTTGTGGTTGATTTGATGAGTGTGGTTTTAAGCGCTTGTATTTTGCTTGAGCTTTCGCTTGGGGTTTTCGCCGTGGGCTGGCGGGGGTTTAAATAGATAACCGGAGGGGCGAATGGTCCCCCGCTGCATCGGTCTCTGGGCATGGGCGCGGAGCGATCTGAGGCGCACGTGTCGCGGCGTAGGAAGATCGGACGGCCAGGATGCCGTGGACGGAAGTTTCTCGGTGGGGCAGTTTCGGGAATTCCAGGGAGGAAGGCCCCAGAAGTGGGGGATTTGTTTTCGACGTTCAGGTCTCTACACTCTCTGTAGTGGCGGGCCCTGCGACCTCGTTTATTTTATGGTTGCCATTTCCGCTGGCTAATTGGCGCTTGATTAGGAAATTAATTATCCATTCCGGTGGAGATCAAAACAAATTACCCATCCCGGTGATCATGCTTTTACTTTCAATTTTTTCGCGGGATCCTGCTTTTACTTGCATATTAGTGCATGCCAATACTTTACTCTAGATTTCTCTGGCACATTTGGTGCTAGCCGAATCGAGATTTAATGCCGTAAAAGGTGCCGAATTTGTTTGCTGATTTGTGGATTTAATTACTGTATATATACTAGTAATATATATTCCTTGTCGTTGGGCCAAAGTAGACATCCCATTGCAAGAGACGTTCCACCTTAGATCTCATATTCTCATTGACATCTGAGCTTGAAAATGGGAAACAAATTAGTGATGGGATCACTGTAATTAAATGATTCCATACTTGTGTGAGAATATACTTTCACCCCATCTACTATCCTTCTTACTCTCTATTTTTTTTCTATAAATGCCATATTAATTAATTTATAGCGAGTCAAACATTTCTATTTTTGATTGTCAATTCAAAAATATATATAGGTTATATTTTTAGGTTTACTCTATAACACGCTTTTGTAATGAATACATGTTGTGAAACTAAATAGGTTTTTAAAACTAACAGTTAAATTTAGAAAATGTTTGACGTAAGATAACCTAATGTGACATAAAAAATAGTGGGAGTATTCTTTTACAAGCTTTATTGAGCTGGCATTTCAGCTTATTGATGAAGTACCAAATGGTATCATCAGCACCTGAACGTATCATACTACGGTCATCCTATATGTCCGGTGAAGAGCAAGAACGACGTGCTGGCTCGCGGATCGCTGCTCAAGAGTGGACTCCCAAGCAAGGCTTCTGCAGACTTCCCACCCGGTCATCCAGGCCGATCGGGGCGCCCAATGGGCCCCGTCGTTGTCTATGAGGTTCACCGTGTCAGTCAGTCACCCCTGCATCCTCACTACCTACAAACCCGATCTTGAGAAGGCGGGCCGCCAACGGAAGCACCACCGACAAGGCAACGCCACCTCGACGCCGACGCACGCCTGCACCGCCGAGGACGCCACAGCCGACTCCTCCCTCTCCACGAACGTCCGCTGCCACAGATGGCGTCCGTCAACGAGACGACCGCCGAGCTTGACCACTACGGCTTTCGATGGTTTGCTACATCTCACTCCCTTCTCTCCGCCTCTCATGTAAATCTAGACCGCCCAGATCAGTTCTGAGTTCTCACGCCGCTCTCGTGGTCTCGTGACCTCACATTGCTCCTCCCTCGTGCCAGGCTGGCGCAGAGGGACTGGGAGTGGGACGATCCGGAAGGCCGGAACTGGGACGAGAGGCCAGGATGGTTCCAGATCCAGAACCCGGGACCATTATTCTCAAAAAAAAAAACCCCGGGACCATTAGGACCTCCCTGGGTGCTGGGGTCCAACGAACTGTGAAAGGCTCTGGGACCCGGAACACTAGCTGCACTCAAGTCAAACGCATCTGCAGCCGTCGATCCCACCGATCGAGCGACCCAAACGGTCGCACAGACGGACGGCTACCAGCACCGTGTCGACGTGCGCCTCGGTGGGGGCTACCATACCTTTCTCTCGGTTCGTATGGTGACACGTGGACCAGGAGCGCAGGTTAGTAGATGTTTCTTGGGACGTACTGGTTGCTCGTAGGCGTCAGTCGTGATTCCGTGAGTTTCAATATCTGTCGGTTCGGTCTTTTAAGGTGCATATAGGATAGAGTTTATATACGTGTATTTATAGAGATAAATATGTGTGTTTTATAAAAGTATTTTCTGAGCTTTGCCGTAGCATATATGGTACTCTGTTCCTTCGGGCTGACGCTGACCAAGTGAACGATGGAGGTCACTGTCACCACTTTGGTAGAGCTCGCGAGTCGCGACACATCTTGGTCTGTCGCCATTTTTCACTTTGAGAGAAAATCGTTAACAAAAAAAATGTTTGGAGAAAAACAATAGTACGCGCCCATGTGTGTCAAGTTGATGAGGCAAAAACGCTAAATAGCATCGTTAGGGTAAGGCAAAATAATAACCAGGCATGTCGCATGCAGCTGGCGGAGCTGCTTGTAAGCAAAGGGCGCGAACACATGGTGTGATATGTGTGATGTGTCGAGTTGATTATGAGTGATTATCAGGAGATGATCAGACTTTGGTTGAGTTTGAAACTAACCTTAACGTGTGTTTGGTGTGTACAATATGTCTCTTGGCTTGTAGTGTGTAGGTGCGGAGCATAGAGGTGGTTGACGGCTATGGAGAAGGTCAAGTAGAGATGTGTTGTGCCAATGGACTGGAAGCGGTGAAGGACAGGCATGAGACTTGAACCGAGGGACAAAGAGGTGTCGGAAGACTGACCTTGGGTAGCTAACACTTGGGGACATCGACAATCAAGTGTGCATGTGGATGAGTAGATCGTGTTGACTAAGTCAAGTGGAGGCGCAAGAGATCTTGATGATCGAGCGATCGAGGATGGACGGTGACACATGTCGAGATTGTCGAGGAGGCATAGCGAAGACGCTTCTCCAGCTTGGTTTGGTGGTTTAATTTGGGCCTCAAAGCCATCAGCAGACGGTTTTATCGGGTTTGGACCTCAAAACCCGAGAGCGAAGTCGGAGGCGCCACATGGCGTCATCGGAAAGTTCGCGAAGTGAAGCTATCTTGTGAAGGGCTCGTGGCCGTTAGATGCACGGATCTTCACTTGGTCATTATGCTCCTAGGTTAAGTGGTTCAGGCAAAATATCTAAGGGTTAGCTTTATAAATAAGATGAAGGCTGCCCCTATATATATATGATGAGTTGGGTGTGTCAAAGGTTTTATTTGTGGGATGTGTATCTAACTATTGTACTTATTACCGGTATCTTACATCTCGGAAACTGGGATCGGAGGCTATGGAGTTAAGGATTCGAAATTCAGCACTAATAAATCCCAGTGGATTTTTGATACATTCATTAGCTCAAAACCCTATCATGAATTTGTGTATTCATTGGTCCAAGCTTATATATACGGTAAACGGAATAGTGTGGATGTCTACAATGTTTATGAGGTGACGAGACAATTTCACTTTCCTCTTTTCTAGCATGCTGGTGCCAATCGGTGATATTGTTGCCTGTGTTCATCGCAGTCTTGCAAAAGTGGTTGAATTTAGGACATATTATGAAGGGAGGCAAGATATAACATAACTAAACCTAAGTATTGGTTTGATCAGCTCGGGCTGTGGCAAACTGTTGAGAGTACATATTACTTACCATGTAGAGACCATTGTATATCTACAAGCGGTTTAGAGAGCAACTGAGCTGGAAATACAGAAGCTAGTCCTGGCGATGGATGCAGCGACAGTGATTCAGGCTGTGTCTTCCATGGTAACTCACTCATCTAAGAATTGAAGGATTTGCTGAATTGTAACTTTGTATCTAGAGTTCTCATGTTTAATTCTTCTTCTGGTAATTCGGTTGTTCATGGTCTAGCTGCTTTAGACGCTGGTCTTAGTCAAGAGCTGCTCTCGATTAGAGACAGTTTGGTAACTTGTAATCGGGATTTAGTGACCAATGATTTAGACTTGGTTGTGAGTAATGGATATCCCTTCCATATTAAAAAAACCCATAAGTATTGGAACTCGATCTATCGCGTCCCATGGTGCCAGCATACGTGCATCAGGCATCAGCTGGTGGTGGGAATGGGATAGGAAATTAAATCTCTGCATGTAGCATGCACCAGTAAAAGTAACTAATAACGCAAACCAATAAAGGACTGGATCAGAGGGTACATCCTCCTACTTCAAAAGTGTCGGCCGGCTACAGACCGGGGGCTGGCCAGATGAGCGAGCGGCTCGCACGAACGATTGGAGAGAGTGTGGATCATGTCCACTCTGCCTCTGATGCGAGCAAAGGATAATGTGTGGCAGAACCGTCCGAAATAGCACATTTCCAGAGGTGCTCGTCTTCCACCAGACACTAAGCACCCCAAAAGTTGGGCACATCGGACGGTTTCGTCGAGCACACCCCAAGAGAGAACTCGAACACTCCACGTTTTTCATCTAGGATCCAATAATGAGAATGAGTTTACAATACTTAGTCCATTTCATATAACAAGAGTTCTCAAAAATACATTATTACAATACCAAGTTTAGAGTGCGGAATTTAAACAACGGAATTAAAATAAACATCTAACGATAAGATACAAGGATTCCGTCTGTGCCCACCAGAAGAATCCTCCACACAATAGCCACTCCTCAAACTGCACCTGCAACAGGGGTAAATAAACCCTGAGTATACAATGTACTCGCAAGACTTACCCGACTAGTGTGAATAATTTCCCGACTCCAAAGGATATGATAAGCTTTATGGTTTGCTGGATTTCCTTTTTACGAAAAGCATTACTAGTAGTGAATCCTTATGTATGTTTCTTATTAGCATTCATGATTAGTTCATTAGCTAACCATTCTATGTAAGCACAATCGGATCCATTTCACCATCTTTCATCTTCCAGTTCTTACTACGGTGCTAGAACATAGACAAGTCATACCGTATCACACCGCGATTCGCAAACCAATGTATCCCCGCTGGGTACCCT